TAATATATATATATATATATATATATATATATATATATATATATATATATATATATATATATATATGGAGTTTACTAATTTACGTACACGGTTTTTTCAGTTGGTATAGCAATGTGTACCGGATTTTAGTAGATAAAAATATCCTAATATAATATGGATTATAAGTTTTAAGGTCAAAGGTATTTCAATAATTTTCAATCTCAAAACTAAAAAAAAAAAAACTCTCAAACCTTACTCACCTCCCTCATTCCTCTCAGCCCTTTCTCTTTCTTCTCTCTCACTCCAACATTTTCTCTGTCATCCTGTAGTTCCAACTAAAAAAATCAGAAACACTCGCCCAACCCTAATCCACCTTCCTTACTTATCCAATTTATTTATCTCTCATCTCCATACTCTCTCTCTCACCCACACAATTCCAATTGAAGTGAAATCTTTCAAATAAATCAATGCAATTAGGAGGATTCAATGAAAGGACATCAATTGAAATCCTGAATTTTCGAATTGAGAGAAATCAAGAATTCTCGCTATTTCTTAGATTCATGGATAGGTTGGGGCAACAATATCATAAAAAATACTTAAAAAAAGAACTAAAATACTGACAATTTGAAACGAAATATAGTTCCAGATTCATGTACTCTTCTTGTACTAACTTTTTTGTACTAGATTCAATTAAATTGGAACAAAATCTTTCATCATTTTTTGAATTCTTCCTTTTTATCATAATTATTTTCATATTTTTCTTAGATTCGAATCCAAAAAGAGATATAAGTTAATTAAAAGCAACCCGCGACATCGCAATTTGTTGCTATTGCTCTGTTCGTTCATTTTTTTTCACTTCAATAACAAAATAATTTTGTGTGTGGGTGAGAGAGAGTACGGAGATGAGAGATAAACAAATTTGATAAGTGAAGAAGGTGGATTAAGGTTAGACGAGTGTTTCGGATTGGAGTGAGAGAGATAAAAGAGAAGGAGTTGAGAGAAATAAGGGAGGTGAGTAAGAGTTTGAGGGTTTCTTGAATTTTTTTTTAGTTTTGAGAATAAAGATTATTCAAATACCCCTAACCTTAAAGCTTAGAATCAATAATATATGAGAGTATTTTTGTCTACTAAAACTCGATACACATTGCTAAAATGTAACAACTAAAAAAAGAGCGTTAACAAATTAGCAAACCCATATATATATTCGACGTGAAAGGCCAAAAATATTCGACGTGATACGTTGTTTTTGTACTAGTGGACTTTTAAATTCGACGTCAAAAGGTTAGTGCATTCAATAAAAATTTGAGCGGAAGATTGAAAATTCATTCACTTTATCTTAGTGCGCGATACTCTCTTCTCAAACTTTTCTCAAACGAAGTTTGACGAGCATCACATGTAATCTTTCTTTCATTTGATAAAAATGCATATTAATTAATTACTTTATGTATGATTTTTGTTTGTTTTAACCGATTATTTTCGTGCTTTTGTCCTTCATAGGCGCATTCTGTTTTCTCTCACACTGTGACAAAACTTTATTCCGACGAATCCACTTTTTGAAGGTTAGTTTTCGTTTTGGAGAACTTATTTGTAGAACTTGTTTGTTGTTTTTTTGTTAAACTTGTTTATTGTTGTTGTTTAGTTGAACTTGTTTGTTGTTGGTTATTATTGTTTGTTGTGATACTATACTATACGTTCATAGTTCATGCTTTATAAAATACCAAACATTGTGTGTTGTTTTTTTTCTTTTCAGGTCTTGTAAAGTTGTAAAAATGGATCACAATTAATTAAAAAAAATAAAAAAATTTGATTAACGTCAAATATTAACAAAATTCGACGCGTCAAACTTTTTAAATTCGACATAAATTTAACGTCTTTTAATATGACGTCGTTCGCGAATTCTCCTATGACGTCGTGCGAATTCGTCGTTTAAACGAGAGATTGGTAGTATTGTTGAGAAATTTAACATGAGAACAAAAAATCATAATAAATTTTTTCAACCGAATTTAAAATATAAAATAAAAAGTATAATACAATTTATTTACAATAAAATATAAGAGTCTGAAATATGTTAAACCCACATGTACAAAAATAAAATTAGTTTGATTTATATTAAGTTTAACTTAATCATTAATAAAAGCTAACCTAATTTAATTAGGTTAAATTTGGTGGGAGTGGATGAGGAATTCATTGAAGGTCGTAGTGTTTGACTAAAATGTAAATATGGCAGAAATTAAAAACAATTAGAATGTTAAAATGAAAGATAAGCAAAAGACAACAGTAACACTGCAATTAAAGAGTGATGGAAGTAATATTAATTTTCTTTATTGCCACATTTATTATTGATTACCTTCTTTGTTTGTTAGCATATTCTTGAAAATGATGACCAAAGCGAAGCGGCTGGTGAACCCTAATTAGTTGTCGGTGTTTGTTGGCAGAGCTCGTCTCTGTTTTCTTCGTCATCTCCCATCCTCGGCCAGAGATGCGCCGAACACACTAAAGCTTTCGACTTTCCGACACCCTCTCAGGTTTTACCTCTTTCATCTTTTTTTTTTTCTTGTTTTTTCCTTCTCAAAGGGCTTTTATTTTCTCTGGTATTTTTTTTTAGTCTGCCCCTAAGTTTTTCTTATTCCCAATTGTACTGATGAACCGAGGAAGGGGACTGATCACTTGCTAACATTTGCATTAGATATTGTTTGGATAATTTTCGTAGTAATTGTATTGGTGATTGTAGAGTTGGGTTAGCACAAATATGTGTAGAGTGGTGTGATGTTTGCTATGTTATTGAAGGGACAGTGGAATGATAAGCATGTTAAATGGGGTTATTTGTTTCAGTTTCTCATCGGAGATATGTTACAATTTGAGTTACAGCGAGTGAGCACTTGAATTTTTATTACATGTGTGTTTGGGTTCACATTAAGTTATCTAGAAGCACGTTGAAGTACCAGCTAAATGCCTTGATGTTTGATTGCACACTGAATATTTGATCTTGAGTTCAAGCAACTTTATGGAGCTTTGATAAAAATAATTTATACAAAGTTTTACCATTGCTTTAAGAATAAAAACATCCACACGTGAATCACATCCTCTTTTCTTTCAAAACCAGTTTTGCAAAATAATTACTCAAGCACACATAAGCTTGAAGACTTGTTTTCTTGACAGGTGTTTGATTAAGTGTTGCTATGTTATAATGTTAACATTGTAGGTTTTTCCTGTTCATTACATAGTGCAACTTGAATTGGATGCACATGTTAGCGAAAGCACATAGTAAGGGGGATGGAACCAAGTCCCTGGCTAAGATACTGGCGAAATGGAAAGAATATAATGCCCAGCTTGATTCCTGTGATGATGCGGATAAACCAGTTCGCAAAGTTCCTGCCAAGGGATCAAAAAAAGGGTGTATGAAAGGTAAAGGTGGGCCTGAGAACTCGCGGTGTAATTACAGAGGTGTTAGGCAGAGGACTTGGGGAAAGTGGGTTGCTGAAATCAGAGAGCCGAACAGAGGGAATAGGCTCTGGCTAGGTACTTTTCCCACTGCCATTGGAGCTGCCCTTGCATATGATGAAGCAGCGAGGGCAATGTATGGATCCTGTGCCCGTCTTAACTTTCCCAATGTTTCTGTTTCCAGTTTCTCTGAGGAATCCTCCAAAGATTCTCCATTGGCGAATCATTCTGGTTCCTCAAAGGCAGTGTCTGCAAATGAATCCATGGTTTCACTTAGTAACTCTAAGGGGGGAGGAGCAGAAGAGGATGTCGATATGGAGCCCATTTCCTTATCCTTAAGTGTAAAACACGAGAACGGTGAAGGTGAATCAGGGATAAGTTCATCTCCTCCTTCTTCTTCATAGTGTACATTTGAACATGGCTAAAATTCTTAGCTCATGTACTTGTTAATGGTAGCTTAGGTTTAATGAATCCTGATATGTGGTCCCTGGAGATTAACTGCTGTAAAACTAAAATGAACTTGGTTGCAAAATGGTCATTCTTCTGATTTTGGCCCAATGTGCTCAAGGTATCCCCATTCTGTTTTTAACTCATCATATGTGAATTATACTTACCTTTGTTTTGTCTTGTAAGATGCTCCTTCCCTGCCAACTCTACACCTCCAAACCCACTGCTACTGTCTCTTAATTTTCCTGCTAATGCTGCATGAGTTGCCACTCTCAGAATTGATTTATTTCATTTGCAGAATTTCCATTTTTATATTATACTGTTTTTGCTATGAATGATTGATTGGATTATAATAGGATAGAATAGTGTATGGTGACTCTACACAAAGCAGATGGGAACAAAGCATGAAGTATTTGAGTTTGAGATGGATTTGCCGCAGTTTCAAACCAACATGGATGGGAAACACAATCTTTTCTATATAATAAAATCATATCGGATTAACAAAAAAGACGACATTCTCGAGACCAGGAGAATAGGAGGATTCATAACCATAATTATGTCAAAGTTTTCGAGTTTTTTCTTTTCTCATCATAGAATATTTGTTGTGCTGTTTCCTGTGACCCTCCGCCCGCAATCCCATGATGCTAGCTGTACTGAATATCGATTCTTTCAATTATAGACAATCTGAAAAGGTTACACTAGTATGTAGCTGATATTCTATATTCTTGGGCTCCAAATTAGATTATATTTTGAAGTGACAATTTGGATGATGTATTAAGAGATTTTTTTCTAATCAAAAAAGAAAAAGAAAAAGAAAATACAAAGATGAGATTTTGAAAAAAGGGCCGTTCTTTAAAATTATCTGGTCCTTTTCGACATTATCCGTGGACTAATAAATGAGTATTTTCTTGGGTCAAATAGAAAGATTTCTGTTTTGGGGCGAAAATAAATATCTCCCTATTTTATTTCGTCAATCCCAGTTTTTGTAGTTACTCACATTTAAAAATATGGCTATTCCTGTTATCTTATTAATCCTTTTTTATTCTTGTTACTTTTATCTGTAAATTTTAAAAATATGTTTTATTTGTGTATTCAGGAAAATGGCAACATCAATAACTATCTTATCCAATTATATAGTTGTTTCTATTTTTTT